TTGTGTTGTAGTACGTACATGGGGAAGCCAGGACCACTAGTTGTGTTGTAGTATGTACATGGGGAAGCCAGGATCACCAGTTGTGTTGTAGTATGTACATGGGGAAGCCAGGACCACTAGTTGTGTTGTAGTATGTACATGGGGAAGCCAGGATCCACTAGTTGTGTTGTAGTATGTACATGGGAAGCCAGGACCACCAGTTGTGTTGTAGTATGTACATGGGGAAGCCAGGACCACTAGTTGTGTTGTAGTATGTACATGGGGAAGCCAGGACTCACCAGTTGTGTTGTAGTATGTACATGGGGAAGCCAGGACCACAGTTGTGTTGTAGTATGTACATGGGGAAGCCAGGACCACTAGTTGTGTTGTAGTATGTACATGGGGAAGCCAGGACCACTAGTTGTGTTGTAGTATGTACATGGGGAAGCCAGGACACCAGTTGTGTTGTAGTATGTACATGGGGAAGCCAGGACCACAGTTGTGTTGTAGTATGTACATGGGGAAGCCAGGACCACTAGTTGTGTTGTAGTATGTCATGGGGAAGCCAGGACCACAGTTGTGTTGTAGTATGTGACATGGGGAAGCCAGGACCACTAGTTGTGTTGTAGTATGTACATGGGGAAGCCAGGACCACAGTTGTGTTGTAGTATGTCATGGGGAAGCCAGGACCACTAGTTGTGTTGTAGTATGTACATGGGGAAGCCAGGACCACTAGTTGTGTTGTAGTATGTACATGGGGAAGCCAGGACCACCAGTTGTGTTGTAGTATGTACATGGGGAAGCCAGGACCACTAGTTGTGTTGTAGTATGTACATGGGGAAGCCAGGACCACCAGTTGTGTTGTAGTATGTACATGGGGAAGCCAGGACCACTAGTTGTGTTGTAGTATGTACATGGGAAGCCAGGACCACAGTTGTGTTGTGTATGTACATGGGGAAGCCAGGACCACTAGTTGTGTTGTAGTATGTACATGGGGAAGCCAGGACCACTAGTTGTGTTGTAGTATGTACATGGGGAAGCCAGGACCACTAGTTGTGTTGTAGTATGTACATGGGGAAGCCAGGAGGCTGCTCCTGCAGCTCAGTTAGGTTACCAAGGAACTGAAGGAACACTGTGCGTAAGATAAGTTACTGTAGGTGTCACACTGACTGCCAAGTACATGTATGGTGTCGACACTGACTGACCAAGTTACTGTAGGTGTCACCACTGGGACTGGCCAAGTTTATGTAGGTATGTCACACTGAAGCTGCCATAGTTAACTGTAAGGTGTACACCACGACTCAGTTTTAACTGTAAGGGTCACCACTGACTCCAAGTTTATGTAATGGTGTAACCACTGACTGCCAGTTGTTACCATGATAGAAGTAACACTGATGCGTAAGATTAGTTACTGAATATGTTGTCACCACTGACTGCCAAGTTACTGTAGGTGTCACCACTGACTGCCAAGTTACTGTAGGTGTCACCACTGACTGCCAAGTTACTGTAGGTGTCACCACTGACTGCCAAGTTACTGTAGGTGTCACCACTGACTGCCAAGTTACTGTAGGTGTCACCACTGACTGCCAAGTTACTGTAGGTGTCACCACTGACTGCCAAGTTACTGTAGGTGTCACCACTGACTGCCAAGTTACTGTAGGTGTCGCCACTGACTGCCAAGTTACTGTAGGTGTCACCACTGACTGCCAAGTTACTGTAGGTGTCACCACTGACTGCCAAGTTACTGTAGGTGTCACCACTGACTGCCAAGTTACTGTAGGTGTCACCACTGACTGCCAAGTTACTGTAGGTGTCACCACTGACTGCCAGAGTTGACCACCTTACAAGTTACCTACTTAGGCTTGCATTTTGCACCATGCCTGTTGTCCTCTGTTAGACCTAGTTCACAGCTAGTAGGTAAGTAAGGTGGTGGTAGAGAGATAAGTAAGGAGGTAGTAGGGAGGTAAGGCAGTGGTAGAGAGGTAAGTAAGGGGGTGGTAGGGAGGTAAGTAAGGAGGTGGTAGGGAGGTAAGGCAGTGGTAGAGAGGTAAGTAAGGGGGTGGTAGGGGGGTAAGTAAGGCAGTGGTATTGAGGTAAGTAAGGGGGTGGTAGTGAGGTAATGGGGTGGTAAGGAGGTAAGTATGGGGGGTGGTAGGGAGGTAAGTAAGGCAGTGGTAGGGAGGTAAGTAAGGGGGTGGTAGGGGCTTATGTATGTGGGTGGTAGGGAGGTAAGTAAGGGTGTGGGAGTGAGGTAATGGGGTAGTAAGGAGGTAAGTATGGGGGTGGTAGGGAGGTAAGTAAGGGGTGGTAGGGAGGTAAGGGGGTGGTAGGGAGGTAAGTAAGGGGGTGGTAGGGAGGTAAGGGGGTGGTAGGGAGGTAAGTAAGGCACTGGTAGGGAGGTAAGTAAGGGGTGGTAGGGAGGTAAGTAAGGGGGTCGTAGGGAGGTAAGTAATGTAGTGGTAAGGAGGTAAGTAAGGTGGTGGTAGGGAGGTAAGTAAGGGGGTGGTAGGGAGGTAAGGGGTGGTAGGGAGGTAAGGGGTGGTAGGGAGGTAAGTAAGGCACTGGTAGGGAGGTAAGTAAGGGGGTGGTAGGGGTGTAGTATGGGGGTGTAAGGAGGAAAAGGGTAAGGGGGTTAGTAGGGGGGGTAGGGAGGTAAGTAAGGGTGGTACGGAGGTAAGGTAGTGGTAGGGAGGTAAGTAAGGGGGGGTAAGTAAGGTAGGTGGTAGGGAGGTAAGTAAGGGGGTGGTAGGGGTTTAGTATGGGTGGTGGTAGGGAGGTAAGTAAGGGGGTGGCAGGGGTTTATATGGGGTGTAGGGAGGTAAGTAAGGGTGGTAGGGAGGTAAAAGGGAGGGTAGGGGGTTTTATGTAGGGGGGTGGTAGGGAGGTAAGTAAGGGGGTGGTATGGAGGTAAGTAAGGGGGTGGTAGGGGGTTTAGTATGTGGTAGGGAGGTAAGTAAGGGGTGGTAGGGGGTAAGAAATGGGGGTGGAAAGGAAGGTAAGGTAGTGGTAGGGAGGTAAGTAAGGTGGTGGTAGGAGGGTAGTAAGGGGTGGTAGGGAGGTAAGTAAGGGGTGGTAGGGGGTTTAGTATGGTGTGGTAGGAGGTAAGTAAGGTAGTGGTAGGGACGTAAGTAAGGGGTGGTAGGGGGTTTAGTATGGGGTGGTAGGGAGGTAAGTAAGGTAGTGGTAGGAGGTAAGTAAGGGGGTGGTAGGGGGTTTAGTATGGGGGTGGTACGGAGGTAAGGAGTGGTAGGGAGGTAATGTAAGGGGGTGGTAGGGGTTAAAGGGTAGGGGTGGTAGGGAGGTAAGCAAGGGGTGGTAGGAGGTAAGTAAGGGGGGTATTGAGTAAGTGGGGGTGGTAGGGGGTAAGTAAGGGGTGGTAGGGGTTTAGTATGGGGGTGGTAGGGAGGTAAGTAAGGGGTGGTAGGGGGTTTAAGGGGGTGGTAGGGAGGTTAGTATGGGGGTGGTAGGAGGTAAGTAAGGGGGTGGCAGGGAGGTAAGTATGGGGGTGGTAGGGGTTTAGTATGGGGGTGGTAGGGAGGTAAGTAAGGGTGGTGGCAGGGAGGGTGGGTGACAGTGGGTGGATATATAAGAGGTGGGTATTGTTGGGGTAGTAGTGTTAGTGTGAGTGGGTTGGGCAGGAGTGTGCCAAGGAGCTGCCATACCCTCACTCACACGCTGACTACCATGATGGCAGTAACAACAGTCATCACTGTCATGGTAGTCGATGTCCCTACTGGCCTCCCTCTACCTTCACCTACTGCTCATACCTCAACGACCTTCAGACTGTACTACACTCAACCAGACACTGAAAGACAGTGTACTGCAGCGTACAGACAGTGTACTGCAGCGTACAGACAGTGTACTGCAGCGTACAGACAGTGTACTGCAGAAAGACAGTGCATGGCAGCACAGAGACAGTGTATTCCAGTACAGAGGCAGTGAATTGCAGCACAGAGACAGTGTATTGCCAAAAGACAGTGTATTGCAGCACAGAGACAGTGTATTGCAAAAAGATAGTGTACTGAAGCACAGAGACAGTGTACTGCAACATAGAGACAGTGTAGTACAACACAGAGACAGTGTACTGCAGCACAGAGGCAGTGTATTACAGAAAGACAGTGTACTGGAACACAGAGACAGTGTATTGCAGGTAGACAGTGCACTGCAGGTAGACAGTGTACACCAAACAGACAGTGTAGATCAGCAGGTAGACAATGTACAGCAGGTAGGCAGTGTACAGCAGGTAGACAGTGTAGACCAGCAGGTAGACAGTGTACCAGTGATGTATGGTACACGTACAACTTACAATCAGCTTCCACAACCTCTCAATGTTTTGCCCTGGTGTTCGAAATGTGTCCCTAGGACAGTGATGGAGGCACTGGTGGCTGCCTTCAGTAGTAATGAAAGTAACACTGCTGTTGCTACTGCTGGTGTTGCTACGTCCAGGAACACAGGGAACAGTACTACTGCTGGTGTTGCTACGTCCAGGAACACAGGGAACAGTACTACTGCTGGTGTTGCTACGTCCAGGAACACAGGGAACAGTACTACTGCTGGTGTTGCTACGTCCAGGAACACAGGGAACAGTACTACTGCTGGTGTTGCTACGTCCAGGAACACAGGGAACAGTACTACTGCTGGTGTTGCTACGTCCAGGAACACAGGGAACAGTACTACTCCTGGTGTTGCTACGTCCAGGAACACAGGGAACAGTACTACTGCTGGTGTTTCCCTAGTTGTTACAAGCAGCAGTAACAGCAACACCTCCCCTCCATCACCCTCCAACACTCCATCACCCTCCAACACACCACCACCCTCTAACACAGCATCACCCAGCATCAACACAGCATCACCCTCCAACACAGCATCACCCAGCATCAACACACAGAGATCACCCAGATACGAATACAGATAACAAGGTTCAAACACAGCTCCCTAGCATCAACACTCAGGAGAGAGACCTGAGGTAAGGAGAATCCTTAAGTGAACCTAAAACCTGGTAGGTTCAATAACCCGGTGGTGGGTTCCTACCACCCACTCAACCCACCTCCACGCCCACCTACCCACCTACAACACGAACTTCAATATTCCTGGCCACTAACAGTGAGTACATGACCAACTGTTACGATTATTATTATTATTATTATTATTATTATTATTATTATTATTATTATTATCATTATTACTATTATCTGAATTATTATTTATAAGGGAAAGAACTAGACCCCTCGAAGGGCTGATAACCCAGGATAACCCAGTAAGGTTCACAACCCAAGATTGTTAGTTGTGAATTGTTGTAGTCATGGTATTTTGGGTTGTGAATTGTTGTAGTCATGGTATTGTGGGTTAGTTGTGAATTGTTGTAGTCATGGTATTGTGGGTTGTGAATTGTTGTAGTCATGGTATTGTGGGTTGTGAATTGTTGTAGTCATGGTATTGTGGGTTGTGAATTGTTGTAGTCATGGTATTGTGGGTTGTGAATTGTTGTAGTCATGGTATGTGGGTTGTGAATTGTTGTAGTCATGGTATTGTGGGTTGTGAACTGTTGTAGTCATGGTATTGTGGGTTGTGAATTGTTGTAGTCATGGTACTGTGGGTTGTGAATTGTTGTAGTCATGGTATTGTGGGTTGTGAACTGTTGTAGTCATGGTATTGTGGGTTGTGAATTTTTGTAGTCATGTATTGTGGGTTGTGAATTGTTGTAGTCATGGTATTGTGGGTTGTGAATTGTTGTAGTCATGGTATTGTGGGTTGTGAATTGTTGTAGTCATGGTATTGTGGGTTGTGAATTGTTGTAGTCATGGTATTGTGGTTGTGAATTGTTGTAGTCATGGTATTGTGGGTTGTGAATTGTTGTAGTCATGGTATTGTGGGTTGTGAATTGTTGTAGTCATGGTATTGTGGGTTAGTTGTGAATTGTTGTAGTCATGGTATTGTTTTTGGGTTAGTTATGTGAATTGTTGTAGTCATGGTATTGTGGGTTGTGTGAATTGTTGTAGTCATGGTATTGTGGTTTGTGAATTGTTGTATTCATGGTATTGTGAATTATTGTAGTCATGGTATTGTGGGTTGTGAATTGTTGTAGTCATGGTATTTTGGGTTGTGAATTGTTGTATTCATGGGATTGTGGGTTGTGAATTGTTTGTAGTCATGGTATTGTGGGTTGTGAATTGTTGTAGTCATGGTATTGTGGGTTGTGAATTGTGTAGTCATGGTATTGTGGGTTAGTTGTGAATTGTTGTATTCATGGTTTGTGGGTTGTGAATTGTTGTAGTCATGGTATTGTGGGTTAGTGTGAATTATTGTAGTCATGGTATTGTGGGTTGTGAATTGTTGTATTCATGGTATTGTGCGTTGTGAATTGTTGTAGTTCATGGTATTGTGGGTTGTGAATTGTTGTAGTCATGTTATTCTGGGTTGAGAATTGTTGCAGTCATGGTATTGTGGGTTAGTTGTGAATTGTTGTAGTCATGGTATTGTGGGTTAGTTGTGAATTGTTGTAGTCATTGTATTGTGGGTTATGAATTGTTGTAGTCATGGTATTGTGGGTTAGTTGTGAATTGTTGTAGTCATGGTATTGTGGGTTAGTTGTGAATTGTTGTTGTCGTGGTATTGTGGGTTGTGAATTATTGTAGTCATGGTATTGTGGATTGTGAATTGTAGTCATAGTATTGTGGGTTAGTATGAATTGTTGTAGTCATGGATTGTGGTTAGTTTGAATTGTTGTAGTCATGGTATTGTGGGTTAGTTGTGAATTGTTGCAGTCATGGCATTGTGGGTTAGTTGTGAAAATTTTTGTAGTCATGGTATTGGGGTTAGTTATGAATGTTGCAGTCATGGCATTGTGGGTTGTATGAATTGTTGTAGTCATGGTATTGTGGGTTAGTTATGAATTGTTGCAGTCATGGCATTGTGGGTTAGTTGTGAATTGTTGTAGTCATGGTATTGTGGGTTAGTTGTGAATTGTTGCAGTCATGGTATTGTGGGTTAGTTGTGAATTGTGTAGTCATGGTATTGTGGTAGTTATGAATTGTTGCAGTCATGGCATTGTGGGTTTAGTTGTGATTGTTGTGTCGTGGTATTGTGGTTGTGAATTGCTGTAGTCATGGTATTGTGGGTTAGTTGTGAATTGTGGTAGTCATGGTATTCTGAGTTGTGAATTGTTGTAGTCATGGTATTGTGGGTTAGTTGTGAATTGTTGTCGTGGTATTGTGGGTTGTGAATTGTTGTAGTCATGGTATTGCGGGTTAGTTGTGAATTGTTGTAGTCATGGTATTGCGGGTTGTGAATTGTTGTAGTCGTGGTATTGTGGACTGTGAATTGTTGTAGTCATGGTATTGTGGGTTAGTTGTGAATTGTTGTAGTCATGGTATTGCGAGTTAGTTGTGAATTGTTGTAGTCATGGTATTGCGGGTTGTGAATTGTTGAGTCATGGTATGTGGGTTGTGAACTGTTGTAGTCCATGGTATTGTGGGTTGTGATTTGTTGTACTCATGGTATTGTGGGTTGTGAATTGTAGTCATGGTATTGTGGGTTGTTAATTGTTGTAGTCATGGTATTGTGGGTTGTGAATTGTTGCAGTCATGGTATTGTGGGTTGTGAATTGTTGAAGTCACGGTATTGTGGGTTGTGAATTGTTGTAGTCATGGTATTGTGGGTTGTGAATTGTTGTAGTCATGGTATTGTGGTTGTGAATTGTTGTAGTCATGGTATTGTGGGTTGTGAATTGTTGTAGTCATGGTATTGTGGGTTGTGAATTGTTGTAGTCATGGTATTGTGGGTTGTGAATTGTGTAGTCATGGTATTGTGGGTTGTGAATTGTTGTAGTCATGGTATTGTGGGTTGTGAATTGTTGTAGTCATGGTATTGTGGGTTAGTTGTGAATTGTTGTATCATGGTATTGTGGGTTAGTGAATTGTTGTAGTCATGGTATTGTGGTGTTGTGAATTGTTTTAGTCATGGTATTGTGGGTTGTGAATTGTTGTAGTCATGGTATTGTGGGTTGTGAATTGTTGTAGTCATGGTATTGTGGGTTGTGAATTGTTGTAGTCATGGTATTGTGGGTTAGTTGTGAATTGTTGTAGTCATGGTATTGTGGGTTAGTTGTGAATTGTTGTAGTCATGGTATTGTGGGTTAGTTGTGAATTGTTGTAGTCATGGTATTGTGGGTTAGTTGTGAATTGTTGTAGTCATGGTATTGTGGGTTAGTTGTGAATTGTTGTAGTCATGGTATTGTGGGTTAGTTGTGAATTGCTTTTAGTCATGGTATTGTGGGTTAGTTGTGAATTGTTGTAGTCATGTATGTGGGTTAGTTGTGAATTGTTGTAGTCATTGTATTGTGGGAGTGTAAGTGTGTAGGATATTGTATTTCGTAGTCAGGTATTGTGTGTATAGTTGTGAATTGTTGGTAGTCATGGTATTGTGAGTTAGTTGGAATTGTTGTAGTCATGGTATTGTGGGTTAGTTGTGAATTGTTGTAGTCCATGGTATTGTGGGTAGTTGTGAATTGTTGTAGTCTGTAATTGTGAGTTAGTTGTGAAATTGTTTGTAGTCATATATTGTGATTAGTTGTGAATTGTTTTAGTCATGTACTGGGGTTAGTTGTGAAATTGTTAGTCAGGTATAGGGTTAGTTTAATGTTGTAAGTACAGGTATGGGGTTATTGACATTGTTGAAGTCATATATGTGGTTAGTTGTGAATTTGTTGTAGTCATGTTTTTGTGGCGTTAGTTGTGAATTCCGAACATCGATAAGACAGGGATGTTAGAATATTCCAGGATGAGTGAAAAGGTATTAAGGTGAGCAGTCAGGAAGCAACCTGTACATGTAGTTGGGGGCCAGGAGCGAGAACTGACCCCTGGAACTCTCTGGTTCGTGCCCGAGACTCTGCTTCATCCCACGTGCCCTCTTCTCTCTCCTCTCTCTCTCTCCTCTTCTCTTATTATATATAATATATATGATATATATATATAAATATATAAATATAATAATATATAGATATAATCTTTATTTCTACCAGTACATGTACAAGGTATACAAGTACATGTACAAGGTATACAAGTACATGTACAAGGTATACAAGTACATGTACAAGGTATACAGACCACAGTTGACATCAATGACATACTACTATATAGAAAGCCGCTTGTTATGCCGAGCATTTCCCGCAAATTAGGTCATTTTTGTCCCAGGATGCGACCCACACCAGTCCACTAACACCCAGGGACCCTTTTTACTGATGAGTGAAAACGGACAACCGGTGTAAGGAAACGCGCCTAATGTTTCCACCCTCGCCGGGAAGTGAACCCGGAACCTCGCCGTGTGAAGCCAGAGCTTTTGCCACCAGGCCACTCTCTCACTCCCTCTAGTATTATTTAGTGATAATATCAGTCACTGGGCTACTTGATACAGCCATAAATGTTCCTCACTGGAAAGACCTGAAGAGCTTAGATCCGAGGAAGTGGAGGAAGTTTGGTTCAATGATTTAAGTTTAAAGTCTACTACACAAAGGTCATGACGGCTGGACAACAGTGTCTGAGTGTGGGTAATAAAGTTTGGGAGTCATGGTCAGTAGAGATGTGGAGCCAAGACAACAGTGTCTGAGTGTGGGTAATAAAGTTAATACATTACTTGGATTTATATCAAGAAGTATAAGTAACAGAAGTCCAAAATTTATTTTACAGCTCTATACATCACTTGGGTTATTCAGCTCAGTTTTGGTGGCCAGAGATCTGGCAGTTCCTCCCACGTACACTATATCACATCCTCCACATGGTATAGTAGACACTCCTAAGGTCCTGCCGGAGTTATTGTTAGGTTTTTGTACTAGGCCTCTAGCAGAAGTAGAAAACTTAGATATTTTAACAAGTGTAAAACCCTAAGACTCTGACACGGGCGCAGGAGTTGACACTATACCATGTGAGGGATGTGACAAAGTATATGTGGGAGAAACAGCCAAATCTCTGGATATTAGAATCAAGGAACACAAAAGTTTGTAACCGTGATCATAAAAACATGTTCAACACAGGCCCATGTTCAACACAGGCCCATGTTCAACACAGGCCCATGTTCAACACAGGCCCATGTTCAACACAGGCCCATGTTCAACACCTCATGAGGTTCATTGAGGCTGAATTAGTCATTAAGGGAGAAGATTTAAGGGAGTGAAAGTGGACAGCGGCTGCCCTAACTACTGTCAGTAACAGCCATCAAAACTCCGGATGTCACTGTATCCAAAATGTTGATCGACAGGATATTACCCATTCTGAAGACCACTGAAACATGCTGACAGGTCGTTTTCAAACCCATCTCACTACACTTGTATCACTACTACTACTACTACTACTACTACTACTACTACTACTACTACTACTACTACTACTACCACCACCATCACCACCACCAGTACTATAATCAATGTTCTGAAATATACCTGTATTTCTGGTCATTTTGTTGACATGACCAGATCATTTCTCAGTATTAGTGAGGTGTCAGTCAGAGAGTGTTGCCAGGCAGTGTCAGCATTATGCTGTCTTGCTGCTGATATGCTGACACCTGCATCATGCTGACTCCTGTATCATACATGCTGACACCAAGGACACGATCACCAGGTACATCTTCCCACACTCGGGTTACCTGTACGTTACTGACCAGACCTGCACGTTACTGACCAGACCTACACGTTACTGACCAGACCTGTACGTTACTGATCATACATGTACGTTACTGACCAGACCTGTACGTTACTGACCAGACCTGCACGTTACTGATCAGACCTGTACGTTACTGACCATACATGTACGTTACTGACCAGACCTGTACGTTACTGACCATACATGTACGTTACTGACCATACCTTGTGTGCACTCACGTATGTGTGGTTACAGAGGTCGATTCATAGCTCCTGGCCCCTTACTGTGTGTGTGTGTGTGTGTGTAGTGATAGTGGTAGTGGTGGTAGTGGTGGTGACAGTGGTGGTGGTCATAGTGGTGGTGGTGGTCATAGTGGTGGTGGTGGTCATAGTGGTGGTGGTGGTCATAGTGGTGGTGGTGGTCATAGTGGTGGTGGTGGTCATAGTGGTGGTGGTGATAGTGGTGCTGGTGTTAGTGGTGGTGATGATAGTGGTGGTGATGATAGTGGTGGTGGTGGTAGTGGTGGTGGTAGTAGTAGTAGTGGTGATGGTGGTGGTGATAGTGGTGGTGGCTAAGAGACAATGCTGGGCGAGTGCTGACACCTGGGTGGTAGTCAGCAGAGCTTCTGTTCCCACGGTGGTGGCGCTGACGCCAGGATTTTGGTGGTGTTGGTGGTTAGACCACCTGAGCAGCTATACATAGTGTTGGGTGTTAGGTGACTGGTGTGGGTGGCATCCTGGGGGAGAGAATTCAAGAACTAGAGGAAACCTAAGCCAGTTTGATGGCTTGGCTTTACTGGGTTATCTTAATCACTAACCCTCTGGGTTATCCTAATCACTAACCCTCTGGGTTATCCTAATCACTAACCCTCTGGGTTATCCTAATCACTAACCCTCTGGGTTATCCTAATCACTAACCCTCTGGGTTATCCTAATCACTAACCCTCTGGGTTATCCTAATCACTAACCCTCTGGGTTATCCTAACAAAATCTTCAGTTGTAAGATAGTAACGTATTATGTACTCCACAGGAGCCTGGTGCAGGGGCCATGGACGAGCTGCTTGCTTCCAATTTACCATGGATGGTTCTGCACCCATGAGGGTAGAGAAAGCCACGCTCTGGGTATGGAAGACCCAGGATCATGGTGATGGTGGCACCCAGACTGTTATTATCAAGGAGGTAGGTACCATGCCCCTACCTCACTCTTATTGTCAAGGAGGTAGGTACCATGCCCCTACCTCACTCTTATTGTCAAGGAGGAAGGTACCATGCCCCTACCTCACTCCTACAGTCAAGGAGGTAGGTACCATGCCCCTACCTCACTCCTACAGTCAAGGAGGTAGGTACCATGCCCCTACCTCACTCTTATTGGCAAGGAGGTAGGTACCATGCCCCTACCTCAATCTTACCGTCAAGGAGGTAGGTACCTAGCCCCTACCTAACTCCTACAGTCAAGGAGGTAGGTACCATGCCCCTACCTCACTCTGTCAAGGAGGTAGGTGCCATGCGCCTACCTCACTCTTATTGTCAAGGAGGAAGGTACCATGCCCCTACCTCACTCCTACAGTCAAGGAGGTAGGTACCATGCCCCTACCTCACTCCTACAGTCAAGGAGGTAGGTACCATGCCCCTACCTCACTCTGTCAAGGAGGTAGGTACCTTGCCCCTACCTCACTCTTACCGTCAAGGAGGTAGGTGCCTTGCCGCTACCTCACTCTATCAAGGAGGTAGGTACCTTGCCCCTACCTCACAGCAGGTAGGTACCTTACCCTCTTTATTAGTAAATAATATATGAACATATCTTGGGTATATCTGGACATGTGTATACCTATAACTACGTTAGGTATGCCTCGCCACTTTATACCTTTAACAGTATGGAGGATATACCTAGGCAGATTTATCTCACAACTGTATATTTGGAATAACTGGGCACGTGTATATCTTGTACTGGGTATACCTGGGCATGTCTTCTGAAAATATGTTTGGTATACCACACAGGTATCCCCACGTACCCAGCACAGAATACCAGTGACACACCTGGCTACTAGCACCAGGTCAGGCTGGGTCCAGGTGGACCTGACTCACCAGGTACACAGGTGGATGACAGGTGGCAAGACACAGCTGGAGCTACAAGTGTCCTGCCCCACCTGTCAGGGTCGACACTATCCGGTGTCCACTCTACCAGACCACAGACCATTTATAGTAGTGGTCACTGAACCACAGGTGGGTATTAGTGCTATATAAGGTCCATGGTACCATGATGTATGGTCCATGGTACCATAATGTATGGTCCATGGTACCATGATGTATGTTCCATGGCACCATAATGTATGGTCCATGGTACCATGATGTATGGTCCATGGCACTATAATGTATGGTCCATGGTACCATGATGTATGGTCCATGGTACCATGATGTATGTTCCATGGTACCATAATGTATGGTCCATGGCACCATAATGTATGGTCCATGGTACCATGATGTATGTTCCATGGCACCATAATGTATGGTCCATGGTACCATGATGTATGTTCCATGGCACCATAATGTATGGTCCATGGTACCATAATGTATGGTCCATGGCACCATAATGTATGGTCCATGGTACCATATGTATGGTCCATGGTACCATGAGGTATGGTCCATGGTACCATGATGTATGGTCCATGGCACCATAATGTATGATCCATGGTACCATAATGTATGGTTCATGGTACCATGATGTATGTTCCATGGCACCATAATGTATGGTCCATGGTACCATGATGTATGGTCCATGGCACCATAATGTATGGTCCATGGTACCATAATGTATGGTTCATGGTACCATAATGTATGGTTCATGGCACCATAATGTATGGTTCATGGCACCATAATGTATGGTTCATGACACCATAATGTATGGTCCATGGTACCATAATGTATGGTCCATGGCACCATAATGTATGGTCCATGGCACCATAATGTATGGTCCATGGTACCATAATGTATGGTCCATGGCACCATAATGTGTGGTCCATGGCACCATAATGTGTGGTCCATGGCACCATAATGTGTGGTCCATGGCACCATAATGTGTGGTCCATGGCACCATAATGTATGGTTCATGGCACCATAATGTGTGGTCCATGGCACCATAATGTGTGGTTTATGGCACCATTGTTGGTCCATGGCACCATAATGTGTGGTCCTTGGCACCATAATGTATGGTCCATGGCACCATAATGTATGGTCCATGGTACCATAATGTATGGTCCATGGCACCATAATGTGTGGTCCATGGCACCATAATGTGTGGTCCATGGCACCATAATGTATGGTCCATGGCACCATGATGTATGGTCCATGGCACCATAATGTATGGTTCATGGTACCATAATGTATGGTTCATGGTACCATGATGTATGGTCCATGGCACCATGATGTATGGTCCATGGTACCATAATGTATGGTCCATGGCACCATGATGTATGGTCCATGGTACCATAATGTATGGTCCATGGTACCATGATGGTTCATGGTACCATGATGTATGGTACATGGTACCATAATGTATGGTCCATGGCACCATAATGTATGGTTCATGGCACCATAATGTATGGTTCATGGTACCATAATGTATGGTCCATGGCACCATGATGTATGGTCCATGGTACCATGATGTATGGTCCATGGTACCATAATGTATGGTCCATGGTACCATGATGTATGGTTCAGGGTTTCCATGATGTATGGTACATGGTTACATAATGTAGGGGCCTGGTACCATGATGTATGGTCCATGGTACCATGATGTATGGTACATGGTACCATAATGTAGGGTTTACATGGCCATCATAATGTATGGTACATGGTAACATGATGTATGTTCCATGGTACCATGCTGTATGGTCCATGGCACCATGATGTATGGTCAATGGCACCATATATGGTCCATGGCACCATGATATATGTTCCATGGCACCATAATGTATGGTCCATGGTCCCATGATGCATGGTCCATGACACCTTTGGATGCAATGGCCCATGGTACCATGATGCATGGTCCATGACACCATGATGCATGGTCCATGACACCATGATGTATGGTCCATTGCACCATGATGTATGGTCCATGGTACCATGATGCATGGTCCATGACACCATGATGTATGGTCCATTGCACCATGATGCATGGTCCATGGTACCATGTTGTATGGTTTATAGTACCATGATGTATGTGCCATGGCACCATGATATATAGCCCTTGGTACCATAATGTATGGTGCATGACACCATAATGTATGGTGCATGGCACCATAATGTATGAACCATGGTACAATAATGTATGGTCCAAGGCACCAAAATGCATGGTCCATGGAACCATATGTATGATCCTGGCACCATAATGTATGGTTCATGGTACCATAATGTATGGTCCATGGCACCATAATGTATGGTCCATGGCACCATAATGTATGGTCCATGGCACCATAATGTGTGGTCCATGGCACCATAATGTTGGTCCATGGACCCATAATGTATGGTCCATGGCACATAATGTATGGTCCATGGCACCATAATGTGTGGTCCATGGCACCATATGTGTGGTCCATGGCACCATAATGTGTGGTCCATGGCACCATAATGTGTGGTCCATGGACCATAATGTGTGGTTCCATGGCACCATAATGTTGGTCCATGGCACCATAATGTGTGGTCCATGGCACCATAATGTGTGGTCCATGGCACCATAATGTGTGGTCCATGGCACCATAATGTGTGGTCCATGGCACAATGTGGGTCATGCACATTATGTGTGGTCCATGGCACTATATGTGTGGTCCATGGCACCATAATGTGTGGTCCATGGCACCATAATGTGTATCCATGGCACCATAATTGTGGTTCATGGCACCATATGTGTGGTCCTGGCACATGTGTGTCCATGGCACCATAATGTTGGTCCATGGCACCATGTGTGGTCCATGGCACCATAATGTGTGGTCCATGGCACCATAATGTGTGGTCCATGGCACCATGTGTGGTCCATGGCACCATAATGTGTGGTGCATGACACCATAATGTATGGTGCATGGCACCATAATGTATGAACCATGGTACAATAATGTATGGTCCAAGGCACCAAAATGTATGGTCCATGGAACCATAATGTATGATCCATGGCACCATAATGTATGGTTCATGGTACCATAATGTATGGTCCATGGCACCATAATGTATGGTCCATGGCACCATAATGTGTGGTCCATGGCACCATAATGTGTGGTCCATGGCACCATAATGTGTGGTCCATGGCACCATAATGTGTGGTCCATGGCACCATAATGTGTGGTCCATGGCACCATAATGTGTGGTCCATGGCACCATATGTGTGGTCCATGGCACCATTGTGTGGTCCATGGCACCATAATGTGTGGTCCATGGCACCATAATGTGTGGTCCATGGCACCATAATGTGTGGTCCATGGCACTATAATGTGTGGTCCATGGCACCATAATGTGTGGTCCATGGCACCATGTGTGGTCCATGGCACCATAATGTGTGGTCCATGGCACCATGTGTGGTCCATGGCACCATAATGTGTGGTCCATGGCACCATGTATGGTCCATGGCACCATATTGATGGTGTTGATGTTGCTGAAGTTGTTGATGTTACTGATGTTATTATTGTTATTATTACTGATGCTGTTGTTGATGTTATTATTGATGTTATTACTGATGTTGTTGATGTTATTATTGATATTATAGGTACGAAAGCGGAGGTCATCAAGAGAGTGTTCATCACTATGGGGTGGAGGTTGTTGTCGTCAATCCATCAATGTAAGTGTGACAGAGATGGGATGGCAGGACTGGATGATCCATCCTCGGTCCTTCACCTTCTACTATTGTCATGGCGCCTGTGCTGTCAGCATACAGTCTGCCAACGCTCCAGGAACATCACGATATAGCAACACTCTACAGGTATATATATACATATATATACATATATATAGGCTTAACAATTCGCAAACAGGCGAAATTCTTTACAAACATTATCTGTACGTCCACAGCAAGATTCAAACCTGCAAACTCTGTATCAGAGTACACAATACTTTACCATGTATCATGCTGTGGACGTAGAGATAATGGTTAACTTAACGACGGAGTTCTGTTCCTAAAACCACTTCGCTAAACAAATTCGCACTAAATGAGGATCATATATAATGTGGTGGATTGTGTAAACCATCTATTGATATGTTAAAGTTAATTTTCCTCTAAACTCTTATAGGTAAATTTTAAATATGTTATACAGTAGTTTACTGTACGAATTTGTTAAAACCAGAATAAAGAAATCAGCTCTAATATACATATAATTAGGTATGGATACTGTCAGAGACCTGTCTTTTTAATGTCTGAGTCTTCAGTAAAGTGAGTATTCACTAAGTAGAGTAGGCTCTTACAATATAAAATAATAGTATATAATATATAATATATATATTATATATATACTAAATATTATATATATGATATAAATATATATTTATATATATATATATATATATAATATATATATATATATATATATATATATATATATATATACAGTGGACCCCCCGCATAACGATTACCTCCGAATGCGACCAATTATGTAAGTGTATTTATGTAAGTGCGTTTGTACGTGTATGTTTGGGGTCTGAAATGGACTAATCTACTTCACAATATTTCTTATGGAACAAATTCGGTCAGTACTGGCACCTGAACATACTTCTGGAGTGAAAAAATATCGTTAACCGGGGGTCCACTATATATATTTTATATATATATATATATAATATTATATATATATATATTATATATATATATATAGACACCCCCAATTTATGAACAAATTACATTCCAGAAGGCTGTTCATATCTTGAATTGCTCGTAAGTCATTATTTTGCCATTTTTCTATTGTTACAATTATTATTATTGCTTTTAATATTATTGTTCTCTCTCTGCGCCAGTGTTCATTGAGAACTTAAAGACAATACTGTACAGTATTACTAATGTACAGTATTACTAATGTACAGTATTACTAATGTACAGTATTACTAATGTACAGTATTACTAATGTACAGTATTACTAATGTACAGTATTACTAATGTACAGTATTACTAATGTACAGTATTACTAATGTACAGTATTACTAATGTACAGTATTACTAATGTACAGTATTACTAATGTACAGTATTACTACTGTACAGTATTACTAATGTACAGTATTACTAATGTACAGTTCTTAATAATAAAGTATATTTTAATAAATACTGTAATAAAAACTTTTTACCTTTCTTATTAACACTTTAACTAACACGGCAGTCTGTTTGTATGTCTCAGTGTTCAGAACTGCAATGTTTGTAAGTAGGTAGCGTGTCTCAGTGTTCAGAACTGCAATGTTTGTAAGTAGGTAGCGTGTCTCAGTGTTCAGAACTGCAATGTTTGTAAGTAGGTAGCTGGTCTCAGTGTTCAGAACTGCAATGTTTGTAAGTAGGTAGCGTGTCTCAGTGTTCAGAACTGCAATGTTTGTAAGTAGGTAGCGTGTCTCAGTGTTCAGAACTGCAATGTTTGTAAGTAGGTAGCGTGTCTCAGTGTTCAGAACTGCAATGTTTGTAAGTAGGTAGCGTGTCTCAGTGTTCAGAACTGCAATGTTTGTAAGTAGGTAGCGTGTCTCAGTGTTCAGAACTGGAATGTTTGTAAGTAGGTAGCGTGTCTCAGTGTTCAGAACTGCAATGTTTGTAAGTAGGTAGCGTGTCTCAGTGTTCAGAACTGCAATGTTTGTAAGTAGGTAGGTGTCTCAGTGTTCAGAACTGCAATGTTTGTAAGTAGGTAGCGTGTCTCAGTGTTCAGAACTGCAATGTTTGTAAGTAGGTAGCGTGTCTCAGTGTTCAGAACTGCAATGTTTGTAAGTAGGTAGCGTGTCTCAGTGTTCAGAACTGCAATGTTTGTAAGTAGGTAGCGTGTCTCAGTGTTCAGAACTGCAATGTTTGTAAGTAGGTAGCGTGTCTCAGTGTTCAGAACTGGAATGTTTGTAAGTAGGTAGCGTGTCTCAGTGTTCAGAACTGGAATGTTTGTAAGTAGGTAGCGTGTCTCAGTGTTCAGAACTGGAATGTTTGTAAGTAGGTAGCGTGTCTCAGTGTTCAGAACTGGAATGTTTGTAAGTAGGTAGCGTGTCTCAGTGTTCAGAACTGCAATGTTTGTAAGTAGGTAGCGTGTCTCAGTGTTCAGAACTGCAATGTTTGTAAGTAGGTAGCGTGTCTCAGTGTTCAGAACTGCAATGTTTGTAAGTAGGTAGCGTGTGTATATACATGAAATAAGATCACAGTAAACAGGTGATATCACAATATACAGAACCATCGTGAAAAAATATTGAAATTGCAAGAACTTTCATGACTTCTCACATTATCAAGTGACTATGATTATCAGTCAGACTTAAGAAATATAAAGCACTTTATACTATGAATAAAGCTGTTTCTGGCAATCTGCCACAACAATTTAAGCAAAAGGTAAATCATAGGCCTGAACCTAGAATAACTTCTCATAACAAGAATGTACTTGTTGTACCATACACTGAGAATTTATCAGTTCTGCCAAATGCCCTAAAGAGACTCAATATACAAGTTGTTTTTAAGAATTCATGGACTGCTAAGAGTATGCTGATCAAGAATTCTCCAAAACCTGGTATACTTGGTGTGTACAGGATTGGGTGTCAAGGATGTAACCTTTCATATGTTGGGCAGATGGGAAAACCTTTAAAGGTTAGAACCACTCAACAGCAGTATTCAGTAAGGACTGCTCAAGAATCTAGTGCAACATTCAACAACACACAAGTCTGTAATAATCGTTCCAAGTGGGCTGAGTTAAAAGCCATTGTTCCATGTACTTCATGGCTAGAAAGAAATATTCTTGAGTCGGCAATTATTTTACATGATAAACTTTCATTATTTAATGGTAGTTATGGGTTATTTAAGCTTGATTCATTTATAACTGAGGCTATCATGCACAATCTGAAACCCAATTCTTATATGAATGCCATGGATTGCCTTACGTGTCAGGGTTCCACAAATAGGCACTACTACGAGTCCTCTTCCTAGTGAGGCTCGACCTGTGTCTACCCACAAAATGAGTTTGCCCTAGATTTACATTTTCTTTATATAGTTGTGTAATTTTCCCAAAGGCAAATTGCCAGACAAAGCTTTATTCACAATATAAAGTGCTTTATATTTCTTAAGTCCAATCGATAATCTTGATAACCAATTTGTTACCAATGTTAATTTTGCTGGATGACCAGTATGTTACCAATGTTAATTTTGCTAGATGACCAGTATGTTACCAATGTTAATTTTGCTAGATGACCAGTATGTTACCAATGTTAATTTTGTTAGATAACCACTAAATTATCTTTGCTTATGCACCGATTTTTATCTGTTTCCTGTAATACTTAATCTCCCTGGCACTAGGCACTGGTTGTGCCTGGCACTAGGCACTGGTCATGTCTGGGGTAATGAATGTTCCCCTCCACTACCCTCAGACTCAGCAAAGCGTCTCTCGGAACAAATTTGCTAAAATTACTTACTAATTTCTGCAACATTGCAAGGTCCTGATGATGTGTTGATTGCAACACATAAGGCCCAGAACTATCACTCAACTCTCTCTGTGGTTTTTTGCATATACATATATATATATATATATATATACAGTGGACCCCCGCATAACGATTACCTCCGAATGCGACCAATTATGTAAGTGTATTTATGTAAGTGCGTTTGTACGTGTATGTTTGGTGGTCTGAAATGGACTAATCTACTTCACAATATTCCTTATGGGAACAAATTCGGTCAGCACTGGCACCTGAACATACTTCTGGAGTGAAAAAATATTGTTAACCGGGGTCCACTGTATAATATACTGTATAATATATATATATATATATATATATATTATATATATATATATTATATATATATATATATATATAATATATATATATAAAATTTCATACAATGCAAGGAATTCGCAAGAGCAGGTGAAATATACACAAACACTGATCCTGGCTGAAGGAGACCGAACCTACGAACCTTGGAACAAGTATCGGCTATACAATCTACCCACCTGGACCCCAAAACCTTGGAGTCCATCTTGAGCTAGACTTTTATCCAAGGCACCAGCTTTCAGGAAGAAGGCTTTCAGCTTTTCACTCACCCCTGCATGCACACCTTACTACAGATATTAAAAAAATGCAAGGAATTCCAAAAGCAGGCAAAATATAGTAAGGCTGATGCATGCAGGGGATGAGATAAAAAGCTGTAAGCCTTCTCCCTGAAAGCTGGCTGCCTTGGATCAAAGTCTACCACAAGCTGGACTCCAAGGTATTGGTCCAGTGTGGGTAGATTGGTAAAGCACTGCGTACCTTGTTCCGAGGTTCGTAGGTTCAAGTCTCCTTCAGCCAGAGATCAGTGTTTGTTTATATATACACCTACCATCCGACTTATGACCGAGTTCGGTTCCGAGAAACCGGTCGTAAGTCGAAATGGTAGTATGTCGAACTTTACTACTGAATATCAACAAAACATTTTTGTAATGACTTTATTTTATTGTTTTATTTTGGTATTTCATGTTTTACTTTACTTTTTATGTTGTTAGTACTGTATTTTATACTGTAAGGTTTAGGATAAACACTCTGTACAACACAAATAGTTGTTTATTTCCCAGAAATTTGGGATAAAAAACACGGTCGTAAGTCGAGTGGTCGTAAGTCGAGCAGGTCGTAAGTCGGATGGTAGGTGTGTGTGTGTATATATATTATATATACAGGAAGCCCCGCTTTATGGCGTTTCACTTTAGGGCGTTCCGCTAATACGGACATTTCAAATTATGACCAAAACTCACTATACGGCTCCCCCCACCTGACTTTCAAAAACGGTCCCCCGTGCCCCACCC